CATGACAATGAACAAAAAGTTTGGATTTCCCATAGTAATGTCCATATAAACTTCAAATGGTTTGTGCCAAATTAGTTTCTTACCAAATGATTTCAAATTTTCGAAGACTAATCAGGACCAGAGCTTAAAATTATTGACTGCCTAGGCTGAGTGTGAAAGCACTGCACTATTCAATCCATTGCTCTGTGCAGACCGTTTGTACCAAACGGTAAAGGACGAGGCAATGAAAGAGCCAACAAAAACATTCAGTCACTCACGAGCAGGCGACGCACACCGTTTGCCGCTCACACAGCATGTAATTGAGTCATTTTTCCATAGAAAATGCACGCTCAGTCATTCAAAACAAATATTGGGTACCATCACGGCAGAATAAACGTGTTGACTGAGCTACTGACTGAGTGCTCGGCTGTCAGTGACTCGTTTATCTCTGAATCATTCAGACTCTCACGAGGCAGTGACTGATGAGGCAGATGGCAGTTCATATTCATAACAAAATGACTCAATGAACCTGACTGTTTTGCGCACTGATCAGGACCCGATTCGGAACCATTCGAGCACTGTGGAGCAAAAATGTCAAATTTTACATCAGTCTAATGGTTATGTTGGATTGCGTGAGCGTGCCTTGAATTCCTAGAAGTCATTGTTTACAAAAGTTGTTATTCCATAATTCCAGCTCTATATAGAATTATGCAAAGTTTCATGCAAATCGGAGAAGGTCGAGTCTTATTTTTTTATCCTATTTGGTGGAACTTGACATTTGAAGAATGACATGTTTAACATTACTTCAATGACACACTTTTACACAGTTTATTTTTCCCCATGTTTTGGCGAGAAAATGTGACATTTCTTATTTAGTTTCCTATGACTTTATCTCAGACGTCATTTCGATTAGATGAGTTCATTTCATGCTATGATTTATTGAAAATTCTATTCCATCTATGATTTATAGAAAAATTTAAAATACGCCATTTTGAAAATTAAAGTAAGAGTTAAAATGATCGAATTCCAGAACAAACTCCAGTGAAGAAAACTGCGATGTTTTATGGAATTATGATAGGTAAAATCTAAAATATCTTTATTTTCCCGCTATTTTTCCTGGAACTGCTCATACTTACAGTTTTTTTGCCCAGTTTCTGTTTCAACAACTTTAAGTTAGCTACATGCATAAATGATGTAGCATTTTAGTTGTTCAAAAATATGCTACTTCATTAGATTGTGTTTCCTCCAGCCATTCACCACGTACATTTTTTCTGCAGAGATGTCACAAAATGTCACAAGATTTTCTCTATAACATTTTCATGACATTTACCACCTCCAGTGCTGCAAATTATCGACCATACACTTCATTATTGACAAAACAGCTTGCGTCACTCACTCGAGCTGACAAAGATCATCAAGGGAAAACATATAAATTGTCAGTGATAATACAGTCAGTGACGACCATGTAGAATGTTTCTTATTACCTAAATTTGTATTGAAATTAAATTAATTATGCAAAATAAATCCATGTAGCCGTTAAAGTGTACAAGCATCTACGTCCGTAACAGCATGGATAACAATAATGTGTAAAAAAATTGCATGAAATTACACTTTCTGTTGCCAGCTGAATCTTTGTCATTGCCGAAATATTGCTTTCAATGACAATGACAATTCTCAGCACTGGTTTCCTATTTCCGTGCAAAGGCAAGTGGCTCGTATTCCGGAGAATGTTTTTTAAACGGATAAATAACAAGTAAATAAATATTTCTACAGCCCCTAAAGAATGTCCAAAATAGTTCGAATTGTAGAAGCAGCGTTTATTTTTTATTTTTTCAAGATTGAAAAATCTCTTCCAACGCACATCATTTGATCAATATCAAATTTGAAGAAATATTTAATGAAAAGATATGCATTTTATAAGTTAAATTTTGGCTTATGGAAAGGAGGTTATAAAAATTTAGTTACGTCATATTTAAACCTGGCTTGTTTATTTAGCCTAATGGCGAAGGTTCTGTGAAAATTAAATTCAATGAAATAATGGGAGCAAATTAATTGCCGACTTGTTTTGCAAACCATTCCCATTAAATTTAGTTGTTTTTGTTCTGGAATGCTCCGAGCTAAAACAATTTCCAATTACCTCAATTCCACAATATCCAAACAGCATGTACCTGTGACATTAATTCGACATGGAGGAAAACAAAATAAGAAAAATTCTTAAAATATCCATTGTTTATGCAACAGCCAATTACCACCGGTTCGGGATGGATTTCCGGAATAACTTCCTGGTGGACAGTGTATTAATTGTGTTTTAGAGAAATACTGGCTCGGTCGCGAACATTTACACGCATCGTATCCAAAACAAGCCAAATGTTATTCGGCGCTGGCATTCAAACAACTGTGGAAAAACATTTCTGCTAAAGCAAAAAAAAGAAACAGAGAAGCCAATCAGCGGCGAAACTGGGCCACCGTTATTTACATGCAAAATAATAACATCGTTTGGAGGTGCACCATTCACCGAATGATCCGCAGAGGGAAGGAGATTTGTATTTTTATTACTTTCTTATTATACTGTCAGTAGCAATCGTCGAGTGAAGGTGCCGTCGCGCGTAGGTGGTGACGACGGCCACGATGGATATGTATGGCAAGAATGATGAGAGGGGTTTCTTTTGTGCTTAGATTGCACTTCTTCAGTATAAAATGCTAATACTCACGCCCTAGCTATAGAGTGTGGAAAGTAGGGCAAACCCGACTGCATTTTTCTCTTTTTTTTTCACTCTTCAGTGAAGGGTACGTGAAGCGTCCTAGGTGGGTGTGGTGCTCTTCTTCGATGGTGCCAAGATGAAGTCTTCGTAAAAAGTCGATAAATGCTCAAAAAATTTAAATTTAACAAGCAACATGTTCCACGCACGTCTTCTGACCACGGATCATTGTTTGCGATAAACAAAATTCGATTGTAATTCACCATTTCCGCGAACCATCTACTTTTAATCCCCTTTCGAGTGAAACGACTGTAGCAGTTTTGGCTGAACAGTTTTTCCCCCTGGCAGTATGTATGTGTTTATTTTCAATGACCTATCACAGCTAGCAGGCTGGCTGGCTGTCGCCATATAATCTGAGACCGTACCAACTGAAAATAAAACTACAAAAGAGACCACACCGGGCCGAAGGCCGCGGGCAATGGGAAACTATTTTTACCGAAAACTTTCGGCCGTAAATTTTTTGCACTTCCACCACCCTTCCTCTGCTGTACCACTTCTATCAGCTTCATACCTATCCATTTCCCGTATGTACATGCACACTATCTAGTGATAGCAGTAGTACATCAGCAGCATGGTTAAAAGGGACCCACCAATACCAAGTCACGCGCCACAACAACAAACCCGACTTTGTAGCGAAAGCATAAATTTCCCGTCGGTGTATGGGTTAGCGGAGTACGGTGAACGTGCCCCCAACAAACAGAGCTTCAGCATAGCTTTTCCTACCAACACATGCGAGGGCCCTTGCCTGCCATATCGGTCATAATATCGTCAGTATTAGTACCCAGAGTAGCACCAGTTCCGCGAACCAACACAAGGTACCAAGTCTCGTATCACTGCGAGGCCATTGAGACGTTCCGTGGATGCACGTAGACACCGACTACTCCTCCCGCAGTTGTCGATGATGTTGGGTATGTGTGCGGACGGTCGCTCGTTCCCTTCCTCACGTGCCTAATGTTGTTATTTAATACCCGTGTTCTGCTGGGAAGTATGGGCAGAAAGCAGAGGCAGTCACAGTCAGCCTGTATAACGGAGCGGTGGAGGTGACGGCCGGGAACGTCTCGTCGTTCTCTATACTGTATAGATACCTACAGATGGAGGACGTCGATGGTCGAGTACGACAAAGCTACGTTGAGGGTGTTGCGCGGCGCAGGGTGGAAAATGGTGCGCGGGAGTTTCGGGAAATCTGCCTGCAAATAAGGAAGGCAATTGTGCTATGGAGGGAGAGGAAGCAATAAAACCAAATCATTTATCAAACTTAGGGCACGGTCCGGTATGGTGTGGTACTATACGTACGTACGTACGGCGCGGAAAAGGTGCGCGAGGATAAGGGAACCGGGGAGGAGGCAATAGTGCCGGATACGGAAGCTGGAAAATATTTTCGATGGCTGGGAATGGTCCACGAGAGAAGAGGGTGGAGATGGGGGGCGAAGAGGAAAACTATTAAAGAGAACAAAAACGGCTGGATTCATACAGAACTTGAAACGGAGTTTTTCAGGCTAGGATGATGGCCTCTTGAGCGGTGGTGATTGATCGATGGAAAAATGCTCCCTGTCTGAATAGGGGTGTCATTTATCGGATTATTTGATTAAGCAAGATATTTTCAAGATGTTAAAGCTCAGCTTTTTCCATAGCAATGTCTTTTTCTGAAATGAGCGTGTAAAGCAATTCATGAAAATCATTAACACATTCAACACTGTAAATACAGTTCATAACAATTTTATAAGCTAGGGGAAATGGATTTAATTTCAGTCCGCATCGTGCTCTCTTGCCGTGCGGATCTATTTGCTTTTTGCTGAAGGAAGTGTTACTACTACCTAAAGCTACAACAAATTTTAACAGCACTTTTCAGTGCTCAACCTGTAAAAATTTTCTACCTTGTTCAACTCCTCTTATTCCTCTTCGATCCTTGTTTGGACCCTACCCGAGGTAATCCTTCTTGGATATCGATTTGGAAAATTCCTCTTCGATCCTTCAGATTCTTATAGTAATCTGCTTGGAAGTCGATTTGGATAAAAATTTACTGCCGCCATGGCGCCTAAACGCAAAAGAAAGGGGCAAACTCTTGACCCCCCTTCTGATGAAATTAATTTGAGTAATCAATTTGATTTGCTCACGGATGATGAGAATGATCCATCATCCAAGAAAAATTCTAGTAAACTTTCCCGGCTTAATGCCAAGAAGGAAAAGATTCCCCCTATTGTGATAACCACTACCGATTTCCATGCTCTTCGCATGGAACTTTTGAATTTCGTGAAAGTTAAGTTTTCACTACAAATTGGACGTCGGGGTGAATGCCGTGTATTGGCTGAAACCTTGGACGGATTTAAATGTCTTCTCAAGTATCTTACTGAGAAGAAGCACAAATTTTTTACTTACGACACCAAAACTGAACGTGTGTTCAAGGTTGTCATGAAAGGACTGCCCAGTGGTGAATCCCTGGATCAGATCAAAGATGAATTGGCAAAATTACTTGGAGTTGTGCCACTCCAAGTAATCAAAATGAAAATGAAATCCCGTCCTGGCGATTCGCGCAACGGGATTTCTAATGATTTTTATTTAGTTCACTTCAAGTCTAGTGAACTAAACAACCTTAAGGCCTTAGAAAAAGCTAGCCTTATGCTCCATGTCCGAGTGAAGTGGGAACACTTCAGGAAGACTGGAGGAAATTTCCAAAACCTCACCCAGTGCCGTAAGTGCCAGGGATGGGGTCACGGAACTAAAAATTGCTACATGCCAGCTAAATGCATGAATTGTGGTGATTCCTCTCACGCAAAGGACGACTGTCCTGTGAAGGAAGATCCTAAGAAATTTAAATGTTCAAATTGTGGTGAAAACCACAAATCCAATTTTTGGGAATGTAAGACTCGCAAAGCGATCCTACAATCTCGTTCTAACCGTCAGGTAGGAAACGCTCCACGTTTCCGACCAGGTACAAATTCCTCTGCTGTTAACAACGGTCAGCGAGGAACAAATTCTACATTCGTACCCGTAGGTACAAATATCTCCCCTGCTTCAAATGTTTCATCTGTACCTACTCCCCTCGCTGCTAACAATGTTCAGCGAGTTAATGGAGCTACCTATGCTGCTATTGCAGCGGGTAGAAATCAAAATACTAACCAACGTTCTAATGGAAATTTTGACAATTTTGACTTAGGAAGCATTACTGCCCCCAAAATGGAATTTTTACAGAATTCATTAATTGACATGATTTCTGATATGCTTAAATCTAACTCCATGTTTGATGCTATTCAAACTGGAGTAAAATTTGCAAATAATATTGTCATGACTTTAAAATTCAGTAATGGATTTTAAAGCATTAAATATTGTAAATTGGAATGCTCGATCTCTTAAAGATAATGAAGACGAGCTATTTAACTTTTTAAGAGTTCATAACGTGCATATTGCCGTTATAACTGAAACGTTCCTTAAACCTGCCCATAAGGTTAAGAAGGACGCAAACTACTTGATTTATAGAAATGATCGTCTTGATGGACCCTGTGGTGGCGTTGCCATCATTATTCATAGACGAATCAAGCATAAAATTCTTTCTTCATTTGAAACCAAAGTTTTTGAAACTTTGGGGGTTTCTGTTGAAACAAAATTTGGACAACTTACGTTTATAGCTGCCTATTTGCCATTCCAATGCGTAGGCCAGCAAAAGAATTTTCTCAAGGGTGACCTCCAGAAACTTACCCGTCATAGGTCTAAATTCTTCATTATTGGTGATTTTAATGCAAAACACCGCTCATGGAATAATGCTCAAAGCAATTCCAATGGTAATATTCTGTTTGATGATTGTCCTGCAGGTTATTACACTATTCAATATCCAAACAGCCCAACATGCTTTTCTTCTGCAAGAAATCCCTCCACTATTGATTTGGTCTTAACTGATTCATGTCAACTTTGTAGCCAATTGGTTACCCATGCTGACTTCGGTTCTGATCACCTTCCAGTAACTTTTGAAATATCCCAAGAAATAATTTGTAATCCCAACAGCTCTACTTTCAATTACCATAGAGCTGATTGGGAGCAGTATCGAACATTTATGGAATATAACTTCGATCCAAACATTCCTTTGCAAACCAAAGATGAAATTAATTATGCTCTTGAATCTCTGACTACTTCTATAGTTGAAGCAAGAGCTGCCTCAGTACCAAAATGCGAGGTTAAATTCGATTCAATTATAATAGACGATGATCTTCAGCTCTTGATCCGTCTTAAAAATGTCCGTAGGAGACAATATCAAAGAACACGCGATCCTGCCATGAAAGTTATCTGGCGGGATTTGCAAAAACAAATTAAAAAGCGATTCTCTGCCCTGAGGAACAAAACTTTTGAAAATAATATTTCTAAATTAGACCCGAGTTCCAAACCCTTTTGGAAACTCACAAAAATTTTGAAAAAACCTCAAAAGCCTATTCCAGCGCTTAAAGAAGGTGGTAAAATTTTGATCACAAATTTGGAAAAAGCTCAGAAACTTGCTAAGCAATTCGAGAGTTCCCATAATTTCAGTTTGGGTCTTACTAGTCCTATTGAGAATCAGGTTGCTCGGGATTTTCTGAATATTTTCTCTCGGGAAAATATTTTTGATGATTCCTGGGGGACTGATTTGGACGAAGTAAGGTCTATAACTAAAAATTTTCAAAATATGAAAGCTCCAGGTGATGATGGAATTTTCTATATCCTCATCAAAAAACTCCCAGAGAGTACCTTGTCTTTCTTGGTAAAATTATTTAACAGATGTTTCCATTTGGCATACTTTCCTGATAAATGGAAAAATGCAAAAGTTGTTCCAATTTTGAAGCCGGATAAAAATCCAGCTGAAGCTTCTAGCTACCGTCCAATAAGTTTGCTTTCTTCAATAAGTAAACTTTTTGAAAAGATAATTTTGAATAGAATGATGCTTCACATCAATACGAACTCAATTTTTGCAGATGAGCAGTTTGGATTTCGCCATGGGCATTCAACTACTCATCAACTCTTAAGAGTTACCAATTTAATTCGTTCAAACAAATCTGAAGGCCACTCAACTGGAGTTGCTCTTCTAGACATAGAAAAAGCATTCGACAGTGTTTGGCATGAAGGTTTGATTGCTAAATTGAAAAAGTTTAATTTTCCACTTTATATTATGAAATTAGTTCAAAATTATTTAACTGACAGAACTCTTCAAGTAAATTATCAAAATTCCAAATCTAATCGACTACCTGTTAGGGCAGGAATTCCTCAGGGTAGCATTCTTGGGCCTATATTGTATAACATTTTCACTTCGGACCTCCCTGATTTGCCTCAGGGTTGCCACAAATCTTTGTTCGCTGATGACACAGGCATTTCCGCTAAAGGAAGAAGTCTTCGTGTTATTTGCAGCAGACTGCAGAAAAGTTTAGATATTTTCTCTTCTTATTTACAAAAATGGAAGATTTCTCCCAACGCTTCCAAAACTCAACTTATAATATTTCCACATAAGCCTAGAGCTTCGTTTTTGAAACCTAGTAGTAGTCACATAGTCACTATGAACGGAGTTCCAATTTCCTGGTCAAACCAAGTGAAATATCTTGGATTAATACTTGACCAAAAATTAACTTTTAAAGATCACATTGAGGGCATTCAAGCCAAATGTAACAAATATATAAAATGTTTGTATCCTCTTATAAACAGGAAATCCAAACTTTGCCTGACGAATAAACTTCTAATATTTAAACAAGTTTTTAGACCGGCCATGCTTTACGCTGTACCAATATGGTCTAGTTGCTGCACTACCAGGAAAAAAGCACTTCAAAGGATTCAGAACAAAATTCTGAAAATGATTTTGAAGTTGCCTCCCTGGTACAGTACAACCGAAGTACATAGAATTTCGAATGTTGAGACTTTAGCACAAATGTCCAACAAAATAATGAATAATTTCAGGCAAAAATCGTTGCAATCCTCAATTGCAACGATTAATTCCCTTTATACTTAGATAAAATTTAGTTTTAGTTTTTAGTTTTAAGATATCAATTGTTATACTGACATGCAGGTTAAAAAACCTGTTTAAAATACTGAATTGCCAAGACATGAACAATGTAAAAACACTTAGATATATATCATAACAATTAAGGCTGGTACGTTACTGCAGTAACTGGAGCACCTAGGTTAAAATGAAATGTAATTTATTTTGAATTTGGAACAAATAAAGAGTTAAAAAAAAAAAAAAAAAAAAAAATGGATTTAATTTCGGCCTAAATGCCCCTAATTTGGGCCCATTCATAACTTCAGCAATCGGCTAAATTTTCAATAGCGTCCAAAAATATCCTTTAGTACCGCCCCAATGACGCGTTCATATAGGTAAAATTGATAAATAGCAGATTTTTAGCGATGGGCCCAACCTTAGATCTATAGGCCAACATTAGAGCCATTTCCCCTATCCGTTGAAAATTAAAAGTTGAATTTCAAAAAATCTGCTAGATGAATCCCTAAGAAAATGCATACAATATTCTAAATATTTCGTCAATGGTTCTTCTATACGGCCGATAAGATCGACTTAAAATTGAGTGGTTTTTCACTCAAAATCGCAAAAAAAAAAACTAGGTTACTCATAGACTGAGAAAAATTTTATCGTTTTTTTTTTAAATCTGCTCGAATATGAGGAAAATTGACAAAGTTTTACTCAGTCCAGGAGTATACTAATAGACTTAGTGCAGAGCTGGTAGCAGCTCACTTTTTAGTGGCTAGGTCACTATTTTCAAGTCAGTCACTAAAAACTCTCTAAAGTCACTATTTCTTAAAATGTTGTCACTAAAGTCACTTTTTACGACCAATAATGAGAGTTTAGATTTTATAAAATTACATCAAATCAAAATCACAACTTTCTATATCTTATGGTTCATGAGTTATGATTATTTAAAACAATCAGGTTGCCCCTAGAAAATCGGCTTTCTTTAAATATCTTTTTATACGTTTACTTCTCATAAAAACTTTGTTCTAGACACTTTTAGAACTAACTAGCCATTGCTGAAAATATGATTTTTTTTTTTAATTAAAGTAAATACTTTAAACTAAAAAACCCTCTCGCAGTTTTTCCACCAAAAATGAAGAAAAAAAATCTTTCAAATGGAATTAAAAGTGAGAAAATCGGTTTGCTCCATTTAGAGATATTCACAATTGAAAAGAGTCATTTTTTTCAAAGCAAATCTCCTTTAACTTTCTAATCAAAAAAGATAGCAACCTGGTTGCTACAGCAAAAATATGCGTCAAGATATTCAAAGAAAACTGTTTTTTAGTGAGTTTCAATATATGACTGACAGCATGGCTTCCTATGGGCAAAAAGTTAATAAAAAAAATATGTAGGGGAAATGGCTCTAATGTTGGCATATGGATCTAAGATTGGGCCCAACGTTAAAATGTGCTATTTATCAATTTTATGTATGCTGAATTTATGTATCGGCCCAAATTAGGGGCATTTAGGCCGAAATTACATCCATTTCCCCTATGTATTTAGATTTCAACCTTTTTTTCCAAAAATATCGATTTTTTTAGGGGCGTAAACAGAAAACATGTTTGGTTGGCCAATTCGCTTAAAATTAATGCTACCACTACAGCTTACGATAATCCATTAGTAAATGTAAGCTGTCAATTTTAATCTTATCACTACTGACAGCATGGCGCCACCTTCCTATTGGCAACAAGTTATCTAGAAGAAGAAAAATATATGGAGATTTGAACGTTTTTAAAAATACGTCGATTTTGAAAGTGAAATCAGAGAAAAAATATTTAGTAGGTCCCGGTTTTCTGGATACGAAATAAATAGCCGTAACTTTTTTTTTACTTGCGACATCTGTTGCGAAAATCAAGCTTACTAATATTTAGATTGCTTTCAAATTGGTGATCTTACTTGTGTTCTTGAAATAATC